TTTCCCCGCAGTTTGGCTGCTGTTTGCTTGTCGGTTGAAATGTATTATTGTATATTTGGGAAGAGGAAATTGACTTGAAGATTGGGAAGGCCAGCCCATGCTCCAGAGCTGAAGAATTCCACTCCAGGGGATTTTAGGAAATGGGTTTTGGGTGATGGTTCAATTGATCATTTTTGGTTTAGAAAAACTGCTGGTGTATGCATTTTGCCTTTCTTCCTTTATCTTATTTAATGAAACAACCACCCCAATATAGTTAGTGAAGAAAAACTCTGAGAAATTGCCGGAACTCAAGTAATAAGACCTATGAGGATTCTGTTTTTAGGAGCAACTTTGCCCTAAAATATAAACACAGGGAAGCATGAGTTGAACAACCCCTGCAGGGTGTTAACCACAGAGGGACCATCTGGCCTTTGAATACTGCATTGGAACCTGATAGAATGTTTCTTGTTCAGATGTGCCACAGGTCAGATCTCATGGCCCAGCATCACTGAACCCCTGCAAAAAATAAAGGTAAACAAATGAGGAACCACCGTTCTATCTAGGGATGCCAGTGTCACCAAAGATGCAAGTGTTGGCCAGGCTGGTCTCGAACTCCTGACCTCAGGTGATCCACCCGCCTTGGCCTCCCAAAATGCTGGGATTACAGGCATGAGCCACCGCACCTGGCCTGCAGCATGTTTGATTTTGATAGTAATTCGGACTTTTTAAAGCGCTAGTGTTGATTATCCTTTTGGTGCTTTATTCGTTAACTTTCATTTCTCCACCCGTCAACTTTTAGCAGCAGCTCTCAACTCAATATGAGAATATACTTATTTTCCTTCCCTTGTTCTTTCCTCTACCTCCCTAATATTTTTTTCTGCTGTATTTTTTCTTTACATTGTCAAAGTTGATGACATTTACATGTTGTTTGTGACATGTTTATCTACAGATTGATTCTCAAAGTTGAAAACCAGTAAGTAGCATTTATATTATGAATTTATTTAAAAACAATTCCCAGCCAGGCACAGTGGCTCACACCTGTAATCCCAGCACTTTGGGAGGCCCAGGCAGGCGGATCACTCGAGGTCGGGAGTTTGAGACCAGCCTGGCCAACATGGTGAAACCCTGTCTCTACTAAAAATGCAAACATCAGCCAGGCATAGTGGTGCACACTTGTAATCCCAGTTACTCTACTTGGGAGGCTGAGATGGGAGGATCACTTGAACCTGGGAAGCAGAGGTTGCAGTGAGTCGAGGTTGCGCCACTGCACTCTAGCCTGTGTGACAGAGTGAAGCTCCATCTCTAAATAAAATAAAATAAAATAAATTCCCTCCTCACTAATTCTCATCCCATATCTTCTTGTCCAGTGCAAGTCGGAACATTGTACCCTCAGAACTGCCACTTGAGGCTTAAGAGGATGGATATGGGAGGGGAGAAGAAATCGCCTGCTTTTTTGCACACAGAGGTCTGGGTGTTGGGGAAGGGAGCTTCAGTGGTTTCATGTAAGCCTCAAGTAATCCCATGGTTTGAGCCCTTCCCACCTGCTGGCCTTGGCTCTTGTTGATCTCTGTCTAGGTCCTCTCCAAATATCCATGGGGCTGACGGCATCCTCCACAGCTGCCCCTACCCCTACCCTCACCTCACTGTGCAGTCTGGGCCAAGACAACTGAATTCTTTGCCTTTCAGAAATGTCTTAACATCCCTTGTCCTCTGACTGTTCCCATCCTCTCTCTTCATCATTATGGGGTTATATTGATGAAAAGATCCCCTTCCTATCGACTTTAATGCCCTCTTGGTGGAAAGGGAGATGAATGCCTGCAGGTCCGCATCTTAGTACAAATCTGAGTTGCCTCCCCTTCTCTTTGCAGCTGCTTTCTATTAGGACTTGAGTCCAAGAGGATTTGAGATTTCTGCACTGAAGAGGAGACTTTGCTTAGATAACGTTTCATTTGGTTGGGAGAGGGAAGGGGGAACAGAACATGATAGATAAAATAATGTTCACCTTTGGTTGCCTTAGTAACAGCCTCCCCCTGTAAATAACACGTGGGGAGGTTGAGGGAGACAGGAGAGCAGCTGACAGGAAGACTGAGGGTCAGGAGGTGGGAGGGTAATCACTAGATTGGAATCCCTGAGTGGCGAGGATCTGCTAGCTGGCTGGGGACAAAGTCACACTTGCCATTGGTATCTGGAGGGCCCCAAACCTGTTCAGTCATGCAGCAAAAGCCTCAGGAGTTCCTAGAGCAGGGAGAACAGACACAGGGCAGGAACTGCTTTCCTTACCTTATCCTTTACCCACTGCTCCAAAGGACTCCTTTCCCCTCCCTCTTCCTTTCTCTCCAAGCCCTGGAAATGGCCTCTATGATGTCATTTTTAATGTGCTGAAAGCCATTTTTCCCATCGCCAAAATATCCAAAGTGATGCCTAACATTTATAACCAGGATGTAGATTTTCATTCCATAGAGATAAAGCTTAACATAAAGATCCCCTGGGAAAGGGAACCTGGTATCTTAGTAGAAATGCTGAACTCAAATCCTCAGTGTGGGTGCTAACAGGTAAGAGTATGAGTGCTTGAAAAGGAGGAAGAGAGGGCACCACAGAGAAAGAAAAGGAACAGCAAGCGACCTTGGAACTAGGCCGATAGATGTTTTTTTTACCATTTTCATAAGATGTGCTATTCCCCCATCATCCCACTCACTCCCACCTCCATCCTCTTCTAGAAGCTGCCACATGGTTATCCTACGGGGACACCGCTCAAACTTGCAGTGGAGGATAATGGATGGGATGGGGATTCACAGGGGAGAGCCACCTAGAGGGAAAGTGAGGGAGAGCAGGAGAAGGAGAGACCTGCAGGCCAGGGAGTGGGTGGCTGGGAGAGAGTGGCAGGCAGAACTGGTGGAAGGTGGGATATGGCAAAAGACACCCTCAGAGGCGAGGGAGCTTTCTGCTGAACATCAACAGCACTGGGATTAAAGATGAGAAGTGCACACCAGCGTGCCGTCAATAGGAGAGATGAATGCCCACGCGCGGTCCACAGGAGAGATGAATGCCAATGCACCATCCATACTGGCCTTAGAAATGACAGCTGAGATTAAAGATGAGAGGTGAATGCCAATGCACTGTCCAGAGTGGCCTTAGAAATGACAGCACTGTGAGCTCTCAAAATTAGCAGGGATGATTTTGCTGTGTTCGGGTTGGAGGAGAGATGGGCATATGAGAATCAGTGCATGAATGTGTGTGATTATTAAACACTCTATACAGTCACAGCCATTCCACACTAGCAGTGGCAGCCACAGTTACCTTGTTTTAATTTTTTCTTTTTCTACAATGAGCCTACTTAGAGGAGTCCTGTTCTTAACTCAAAAGGAAACAGAGCCGGAGAAGGGCAGTCCCTTGAAAAGGGGCGCATGGCAAGCTAATGGGAATTTAATTGTGTCACTCAGTACACCGGCCCCATGGTCAGGATGGCTCTTAGTAGGTGTCCTAGTGCATTTAATTCACTCAGGCAGCAGAGCCTAATGGTTGAGGGCATGGCGTCTGAGGGTGGAAGGCTGGGGTTTTGGGCCCAGCTCTGCCACTGTCCAGATGGGTGTGCTTGGGCAAGTTTCTTAACCAGTACATACCTCAGTTTTCCCATGTGTAAGGTGGAGGTAATAATGGCATGTTCCTAGGAGTATCATTTTGAAGTTAGATGAAGTACATTGTTTCCTGTTACTGCTGTCTAGTTTGGAAGGTAAATGGTATATGTGTGATTATTTCAGCAATCTTTTGTGTGATATTTTTAGTTTTCACACTGCCTTCATAGCTGTTGCTTTTAACTCTTACAAAAGCCCTGTGGGATAAAAATGGAAGGCATCACTCCCAGCTAACAGGCGAGGAAACTGAGGCTCAACATCACAGCATCTGTAAGTGGCAGAGGTCAGACTTGAGCTGAGAGTTTGTTTTTTTTTAAGCCAGAGGTTCTCAACTCCCTGCTAGAGTCACCTCCCCTCCGAGATTCCCCTTCCGCTTTCCAGCCAAGGCCGTCCCTGAAGCTCTTCCTCCCTGGGCCTTTGCCTTCTCCCATCATTTTCCAGCAACTCACATAGGCATCTTTACTTCCTTAAATGGAGCATTGCAAGGGTCACTTACCCTTGGCTGTTTTCTGGTGGTCAGAGTGACTTCCTTCTACTGTGTCCTTGGGTCGTCTGTACCCTGGAAACACACCTGGGGCCGGCCATCCTGAGTGAGGGGTCCCACTGGAAGCATGGAATGGAACAGAGTAGCACCGAGCCTGGACCCCCAAACACAGACAAAGTGGAGCTGCAGAGGGACGGGAGCTGCAAAGACTTTCAGCAGGGCCTGCGATGATCTCTGTCCCCAGGGCTCCAGCGAACCCAACCGGGAAGCTGCTGTGTCCTCACAGGACAGATAATGATGATGCCCCTTGCTCAAGCTTTCTCACAGGGGAGCACAATAGGTCCTCCCCATCTGGCCCCACTTCTTTCCTCAACGTCATTTTTCTACCTGTGGCCTCCCATGGCCCAGCAGGATCTATCTCTCTAGCCGTCTCTCTGTTCCTTCAGAAACAGACTTCTCAAGGTCATGCTGTCAACCCTTGCCCACCTCCTGGATAGCCTCTACTCACTCTTCAATTTAAATGTCACTTCTCAGGGAGCCTGCTGTTTCTCCCCAAAGTAATGGTCTCCTTGCTACCTCCATCCTGTACTTTTCCATCATACACTTATCACAGTTGTGATCATCTGCATTTTTTGCCATTACTTACATCACATGTGCCCCTCCACCCCCAGACTGTAAGTTCCATGGGGCCCAGGCCTGGGTCTTCACTGCCTGGTACATAGTGATGCTCGATAAATATTATATGAAAGTATTAAATATTCAATAATGCTACGTGCAAGTGCTTTGGACAGTGAAAGTTGCTTTGCAAATGCGTTTTCATCTTAATGTTATTGCTATCCATGGGGTTACCAAACAATAAAAGAACTGTCTCTGGCAGCTGAGGCTTCCAGAAGAATCAGGCAAAATGATTCGTAAGGAGGATTTATTGAAAATGGTCTGTAAGCTACACAATGTCTTGCGGTGTGGCTGCTCCTGAGGGAGGGAAGTTGAGAAATGAGCCTGAGGATGTAACTTGTACTCAGTTTTGTAAACAACCCGGATTCAGCATCTTGAGTTTGTCCGTGCGACGATCTGAAAGCCTGGAGAAGAAAAAGAAATGAACTCCCAAGGGAGTGGTGTGCAGTTGCTGTCCAGGTTTTCTTCTAAGCTAGTCTTCGTACCGTGTCATTTGAAGCCTTGCCTGTGTGTGGTGCCTGAGAGAGTGCGTGCTGTTACCAGGATTCTACCGTCGGCTCAATCCCTTCTCTGCTCCCAGCTTCTTTCGGTGCCACTGAACTCTCACACCCCTACTGAGTTTATTCCTCTTTCCACACCTCGTTCAGCTCCTTCCTGACCTCCCCATCCTCTGTCCTTTGCCACAGTTCCTGCCTGCTATGCCATTGTAGTCTGTGAGCCCAGCCTGGTCTTCAGTGCTCAACCATTCATTCCACATGTTCCTCTTAAGCCCCTGCTGTCATTCTAGAGAGCTGACCCATGGTTCCCCCCACCCTTCAGTAAAGGGCACCTTTATGATTCACTTCCCCCAAGCACCTCTTCCAAACACTTGCCACTCTCAAGTCCCTAGGCCCATTCCCACCCCTGCATTATCTCTTATTCATCAACTTTTTATTGAGCATATACTACATGCCAGAAACCATACATGGTTGGAGGTATAAGGGTAAATCTAGACACCATGCTTTTGCTCTTGGGATTCCCAGTATGATGGGAAGAAAGACCCAGAGAGAGAGAGAGACAGAGCGAGCGAGAGAGTCCCGTGAGATAAGCACTGTGGGTGTATGCATTGTGCTCTGTGAAGTGGAAGGATGTTAACTCTGAAGGTGTCAGGGTAACATTTCAGCACAGCATGAGCAGGGTTGCTCCAGGCAAACAGAGAGGACAGTGTCATAAGCAGGTGGACCTGCATGTGTGGAGAATGTGGTGAATCAGGGAAGATCACCCCATTCTGTGTGGCTGTGGTGTGGGGGGCAGCCTCTGGAGAGTGGGAAGACAGGTGCAGGCGTGACTGTGGGGGCTGTGTGAGGAGCTTGCATGTGAGGAACCTGTGGGACAGTGGAGAGCTATTCAAAAAAACTTTTTAATAGAATGAAATGAATAGATATGTTTTAGGAATAATCAAGGAAAGGAGAACGGATTGCAGGGGATGCAGGAAAGCGGCAGAGAGGGCATTGCAGGGTTTATTCTGAACATATTCATTGAGGGATGCCACAGATCCTAAGTGCTCTCTGCTGTAGGAAAGCAAAAGTGAATGGTTCTCACACTCAGCTGCTGCAGGGGATAAAAGCTCGAGGTGGCATGATGTAGAATCTAGGTATTTAGAGATGTCCAGGACCTACCCTAAAGCAGGGTGGATGAAAGGGGAAAGGCTGCAGTATCGCCACGACAAGGCTTTACCTCCCTGCTTTACTGTAGCCTCACCCCTGCCCTCACTACGGTTGCCCTAGGAGATGGCCTCGTGGGGGGAGGTCAGCAAGACTGTCCCAGGCCTTACTCCCAGCCACCTTTGCTGACAACTCAAAGGAAGGCAAAGGGAACCTTAGGTCCTTGGAGCCTGGGTGAGGGTAGAGTTGAAGCTGGGACTCTACGCCTCTCTGCAATTATGTCAAAGAAAAGACAAAATGATCCACAGGGTGAAAAGAGATCACTCTCAAAGTCAGCGATTTGTTTTGCTTTTTGTTTTATGTCAGAGAAACACTTGCCTTATAAAACTAAACCTAGGAATGGTGGTAGGCCCTGGGTGCCAATCCTCCATCCCAACCCTACTGATCTGACCCCCCAGGGGCCCTCGGTTCAGTCCCGTGTGAGACCCATTTGGGTTGCTCTTCAGGCTTTCTGAGGCTAGGCCCTTTGAGGTGTCCTCAGACTCTCTGTCTACCCACACCCACACTCGGGATCCTAATTTGCAATTCAGGCAGCTGAAACTGATTCAGAACGAAAAACAATTGACATCACTCCTTGAAAAAAGAAAATGATTTTGTCATTGGCAATATAATAAAACCTAGTTCTAAAAGCAATCTGCCTCCCACCCAGAAGGTTCGCATTGGACAGGTGAGAGTTCTATCCCCTCCTGCCAGGCTAGGTGACAACAGCCTCAGCTGGTTTCCTCCAGGTGGGAAGTGACCAGCACAGGAGAGGCAGCTCCTCCCACCTATGCTGACCTGGATCCAGCCCCACCTCTCCCTGTCCAGCCTTTACCTCTACATGTTTGTTCCATAAGGAAGCTCTGTGCATGATGCGTATAAGTACCTTAAGTACTTTTCTGAGCCCCATTGCTCTGGCCCATGCATTGGGTTAAAGGCAATATCTATCAAGCACTCTTCCTCCCAAAGGGTAGCTTGGAAGTAGGACTCTACGTAAGCCTGCGGGCTGGCTGAGACCTTCCCCAGGCAGCTCCTGCACAAACCCATTGACTTCCTCTTGTTCCCAGCACATAAGGACCCCAGGTCATAGCAACAAGACAGAGCCTGGTTTCTGCTGGTTCTTGAGAACTCATGAAACCCTGAGGTTCATTTATCTGGAGTGTGTAGAGGCAAAGGAATGCTTTAGTGCGTCACTACCCAGCCCGCTGCATGCCAAATATCCAAGCGTGCTGGCTGGGGTGCCAGCTCTGATCTGGGTTCCCAGTGAGATAACTACACTGTGCAGGTTAAACCAGTTCCTGCCCCGGACTCCCAGTACCAAGGAGAACTGTAGGGTTCTTGGCTGCTGGCAGGATTGCATTGGTCAAGCTACTGTGCTGCTGTTGTTGTCAAGGTTGCAGCATATTCTGCATTGAGGACTAGATCAATGTGTATGTCCAAGGCTCCCAGGCAGTGAGAATAGTGCGTCTGTGTGTCCTGAGTGCTAATGATGGCCAAGCAACTCAAAAAGAAGACAGGCAGCTGCCTCTGGGGCTGGAGGTAAGATCCTCACTCGACCTCCTTCTACCCGTTGCCCCCCTTCCACTACCCCCCTTCTTTCTCTCTCCTCTTTTCCTCTCCCTAGCTCCTCCTCTTTGTCCCCGCTCCCCTAGCCTGGGCCTGCACCCTGGCTTGTATCATCAGGATGCTGAGTGTTTTGTTTCCCACTGATGCATGTGGGCATGAGACTGTCCACATTCCTGTGATTCATTCACTGTCTTGGTTACACCTGAACAGAGGCATATTTTGTACCTGACCTTAAGGGGGCTTGGCTCTCCAATCTCACACTAGAATGAATTGATGCTTTTCTCACCCAGCAAACACTGGCTGGGCCCCAGTGGAGGCCAAGTGCTGTCCTAGGCCCCAGCCCTGCACATCCTTACCAGGACAGGGTTAATTCTCAGTCCCCTTCTACCATCGCTCCCTGAGGGCAGCCTGGCTGCAGCTCTGTTCTAGTGAAGGGAGAGGATTCTGGTTTGGAATGCTGGTAGCCGCTGCCACACGGTCCATATGTGACTCTTTCTTTCCTGATAGAAAGTTAGGACTTAGTTATTTGAGGAGGAGGATCTGGTTCTTTACAGTTGGCCAATCCTGGCCATGCATGGGCCTTTGCTGGCTGGGTCAGGCTCCCCTTCCTCACCTGACGGAGGATGCCCTGTAAAGTTAGCCTGATGCCCAAGAAATGCCAAAATGGGATGGGCCTGCCGCCAAAACACAGGAGTGACCTTGGCAGAGTCCTTTCCCCTTTCTGGACTTCAGTTGCCTGGGTTCCTGCTGTAATTAGTATGAACTGACTAACGCCCGAAGGCTGGATGGTCAGCTTTTCCAGCATGAAACCAAACCAGCAAGGAACGCAGGTGCTGCTGGGGAAACTGGGGTCCCTGTCGAGGCTCCTGTTCTTTGCCTCATCTGAGAGCTTAGAGTGGGTTCGCCACTGCCCATCTCCCTGGATCCATGAGCTCCACTGCTTTCTTGTCCGCTCCCCACCCAGGCGGTAGAGCCTCATGCCTTGCCATCTCCCTCCAGGGAGCTTTTTACCTGGAGGCTGACCAGTTCTCTCCCACTCTCACCACGTGTGCTGTGATCCGATGGCCTCCCACGGGCCCTGACCATCAAGACTAACAGGGTTGTGGGTGTGTGGAATATGCTACGGGCCTGCAGGGGATTCACTGTTCCTAGGAGACCAATGCACTCCCTGGTATCCCTCCTGCTAGAGCAAGGAGCAAAGTACAAAAGCAAGTATACAACCACACGTTTCCACTCCAGTGCTCACGTCCCTACGATGTGATCTCTGTGGCATGTGGGTCTGACTTTCTGGGTTTCATAACCTTTCCATGAAGGAGGCGCTCACAGAGAGGGCAGCGGACACATGGCGGCAGTCAGGAAGTTAGACCCGAGTGAATGCTGTCACCATAATGGACTTGGTCAGTCAGTTGGCAATTCGTTGTAGATTCATTCCTTAATACCCCACACCCCGGGCTGGATATCTCTGCGTGTCCTGGAAGAGAAGATAGAAATAATTCAGCCTGGGCCAGGCGCGGTGGCTCAAGCCTGTAATCCCAGCACTTTGGGAGGCCGAGACGGGCGGATCACGAGGTCAGGAGATCGAGACCATCCTGGCTAACACGGTGAAACCCCGTCTCTACTAAAAATACAAAAAACTAGCCGGGCGTGGTGGCGGGCGCCTGTAGTCCCAGCTACTCCGGAGGCTGAGGCAGGAGAATGGCGTGAACCCGGGAGGCGGAGCTTGCAGTGAGCCGAGATCGCACCACTGCACTCCAGTCTGGGCGACAGAGCGAGACTCCGTCTCAAAAAAAAAAAAAAAAAAAAAAAGAAATAATTCAGCCTGAGGCTCCCCGCCAGTCTCCATTCCCAACTCTCACAGAAAAGAAACTCAAAACACATGTGCAGTGGTTTCACCTCTTCTCATGTTGAAGCCACCCTACTACTGGAGGCATGTTGAGACTTGCCCAAGGCAGGAGAAGGGGTCACACTTCCAGCCCCTATAGCCCACTTAATGTCATGATGGGTGCTGTTCACTTTGGTATCATTGGGTTGTGGTCATGACTGTACTTATTATTGGAAGCAAATCTGTATTGCCAGCCCAATTGTCCTCTCTTGAGTAAGTGGGCAGTGTGGTTATTCCCACTTCACAACGATGAGACTTCTTGCTGGAGTGCTCACAGGCAGCGGTAGGACCAGAATCCAGGCCTCCTGGCTCCCTGACTTTCCTGGATTCTGACAGCCCCGTATGGTCCAGGGATTGTTGACCTGACCTGTCAAAATACGAGTTCTGTCACCAGAAAACAGGGAGATGCAATCACTGGGGAGAGGGATCACTTTTTTCTGCTCTAGGAATGATTTCTTGTTGCCTCTGAGCATAACCCCTGCAAATGATTAGCCTCCCGGGAATAGTAGGAGGTAACCATGCACATGCGTCAGCTGGATAAGGAGCCGGTGCACCTGGGTAAGAGGCAGGCTGGGCTGGGTGGAAAGAAGTAAAGAACTCTGTGAAATTTAAAGGGACTGAATCCAGGATTTAAATCAGATAAGACTTGTGAAATTCTCATGTCTGGTTGGTATCCCTCAGCGGGTAGAAAGAAGTCAGTATTACAAATTTGGATTTGTAAACTATGGTCTGGAGTGTGGAGCTTCTGGGAATGCATTTACACTGCTCAGATATTAATATTGATGCAGTAGGTTAGGAATTAGGTGCTGAGAATAGAGCGATACACATGATGGAGTTCCTGCCCTCACTGCACTTCCAGTCAAACATTGAACACAGTAGTTAAAACTGAAACAGAGAGAAAAGCGACATAAAAGGGCTAAGAGAGGGACACAGCCTGAAAAGATAAGCTAGTCTGGGAAGGGAAAAGAGACATCAGGGAAGGCTTCCTGGAGGAAGGGACATTTAAACTTAGACCTAAAGGATGCATAAGAATTAGTGGCTGGGTGTGAATTATACCTGTAATCCCAGTACCTTGGGAGGTTGAGGCAGGAAGATTGCTTGAGCCCAGGAGTTCGAGACCAGCCTGGGTAACATGATGAAACCTGTGTCTACAAAACTTAAAAAAGAAAAAAACCTAGCTGGACATGGTGGCATGCACCTGTAGTCCTGGCTACTCAGGAGACTAAGGCAGGAGGAGCTCTTAAGCCCAGGAGTTTGAGGCTGCACTGAGCTATGATCGAGCCACTGCACATTAGCCTGGGTGACAGAGCAAGACCCTAGTCTCAAAAAAAAAAAAAAAAAATGAACCAGGCGAAGAGAAGTGGGGCAGTTTCCCTAACAAAAGGAACAGGTTTTCCTGACAAAAGGAACAGCAAGTGTGAAGGCCCAGAGGCAAGGGAAATGTGACATTATCTATGGGCTGAAAGATACCTTTTATGACTGGTGAGTAGAGTTCAGGGAGACTGGAGATCAGAGGCTAGAGACAGTGACAAAGGATGTCAGTTCCCAAGATGAGTTAAGGAAGCAAGGTAAATCCTTCTCCAAGAAACTGGGAAAATTAGAAAAACAGAAGCAAGCACTCAAGGATGCTCAAGAGTGCTCTGTAACAGGAAGCCCCATGGGAGATGGCAGAGTTCACTGGTGTTGGAACCATGCCTAGTTTAGACCCCAGGCTCTACCTTCTAAGGTGTGACCTAGAGGAAGTCATTTCAACTCTCTGCAAAATGGAAGGAAGCAGAGGAGAACGGGCACCTGCAGGGCACCTACTGTGTACCACGTGCTGTGCTGAGTTGATTCATCTACTGAGAATAGTTACACCTACCTCACAATGTAACTAATGAAACTTCAACTTAAACGTTGTTGAATGTGTATGACTATGCCCAGCACCTAGGAGGCCCTCAATAAATGCTAGCTGGGTTGGACTGTGGGCCTGGGGAACAAGGCAGGGGTTGGTGCCAGAGACAAAGAAAGATCCCGTTAGCAATGGGAGCGTGAGGTCAGAGTCCAGGCCACCGATGCAGGTAGGCTCCACCTGAGTGCCAGCTCCAGGTGCTTGGCAGAGGCTCTCAGGAGTGCTGTTTTAGAAGGACTTTGATTCTCCTGGCTCATCAGGAGAGAGTCATGACTGAGTATCAACGTCTGCCATAGGCACAAAATGGAGTGATAGTAATATATACGGCACACATTTGCCATTTTGGTCGAAAGCAAGATAATACAGACTCCTGTAGCTACAAGCCAAGGATCTTTGAGCATCCCTGCCATGGGCTAACCCTGCAGGTAGAAAGTAAGTGGTCCTGTTTATGGATCCCAAAATTTGGCAGGAAAACTCAGGTCTGAACACTGAGCTGCCAGAGAACTTTCTGCATTCCCAAGATGGCTTATTAGATGTGGGCTCACAGAGTTATATCCCAATTCAGGGAAGGCACAGTGGCCTGCAGGCACCATTCAATAAGTACTCAAGCAAGTGTGGGAGAAATAAAGATGCAGGCTCTGCCTCTGAGAAGCTCAGACCTGGCTGGGATCACTTCCCTTCAGAACACAGCCCGAACAAAGCAAGCCCCAAATAGGGCCTCACCTTATTTAGCCGCTGAAGTCATAATTGCACTGATTTAGATTTTGAAAGAGGCCACCATCTTCTGCTATCTCAGATCTCCTTTCTTTAAAAAGAAAAGAAGTTTCCCCTTGAATCTACAAGGGTCAAATGTTGCAGGAGTTGGTTAAAATCAGAAGGATTTACACACCTGCTGCAAATGCCCCCTTGGACACTTGCCGACCAGAAGCTGGACTCAGCCTCCAGCCTGGGCAGGGGCCTCTGTGCAGCTGGTGCTGTGCCCGCGGCCACCGGCTCCCAGACTTCCCACGCAGGGACCCAGATGCTCCCCTTCCTCAGCTTTGCTGATGTGGAGCTGGAGTTCCGATGAGGCAGCCGGAATTTCTCTCCGTGCTATTTTAGTATCGCTGAGAGGCATGGGAAGGCTTTGTTCTCCCTGGCTGGTTACGTAATTTTCAAAAGGAAAAACAGAGCAAAGCCCGAACGCTCCTGGAGATTTTGCTCTTTGGGGAGGAGGGAACTCCCCACCCAGCATCTGATGTTCCTTCTGCAAACTTCTCTTCCCTCCCTCAATTCTTTCCTCTAACCACCCCACCTCAGGGAGGTGAAGACAACAGGGTCCCCTCCTGTTTCTTTCTCAGCAGTGTCCCCACAGGCGTGTTCTTTAGAAAACCGTACAAGGGAAACACAGCCCAGGGTGGGTGGCCTCACTGCCTCCCAGGGACCTTAAGACATTTGCAGTCACCACAGGCCCACACGTCCCAGCGGGAGAGGGCTCACCTGAGGCCCATCATGGGCAGCAGAGCCTGTCAGTGGTTCCTCTGCTTGAGACCTATTTATTTTAGACTAAGCTGGGCTTTTGGCTCAGGTCAGTTGGTGCCCTGCTGGCTGGTGTGTGTGAAGGGTCATCCCAGGTCCTAGGCTGGGAATGGTGCTGGGCACGAGACAGGCACAGGCATAGGGAATGTAGCCCATGGTTGGCATCATGGGCGGCACCATTAGGAGCAGCCATCTGCCCACATATCAGAGTTTCCGCAAAGGAAAATGAGTTTCTGAGTGTGCACAGGTCACTCCACATGCACCACCGCAACCTGCACTCCTCCAGGGTGGAGGGAGCAGCGCTTAATTTCAAAAGCCAGAAGGCCAGGGAGAGTTGTTTCTCCTCATTCCTGGGGGTCCTGCTGAGAGAAGACCCAGCTGAGTCTCAATGGTAAAGATCAGCGATTACACAGCAGTTCTTTCCTTGGTGAGGAAACGCCTCTGGTCATTATGCTTTCGGGAGCCTGTGTGGCCTCCTGCCTTGAACTCCTGCTTTTAGCCCCTACTCAGGCTGCAGGGATTTAAAAAGCTTTCTTTTCTGGGCCTCAGGGATGCTTTTTAAATTTATCTTTCCATGTGGGTTGTACTTTGTCATAACCAGAATCTTACTGCAAACATGGAGCCATTCCTGTGTCCACTGATATTTATTTATTGAATCCCTCTCTGTATGCCAGACACTGCCCTGGACCCTGGGTTACATCAGTGAAAACAGAGAGGTAAGGTTCCCTTCTCCCCACAGTTCTGACTCTGGAATCTAATGAGATCCATGCCAGGTGAGACCCAAGACTCCAGACTCAACAAGGACTTTTCAAGGCCTCTTCTCTATTTTAGAAAGTCAAGAACTGCAGATCTCCAAGTCCTTCCTCTCCATTAGTTAGCTATCGCTGTATAACAAATGTCCCAACATTTATTGGCTTAAAGACAACATTTATTACCATGCAGCTCCTGAGAGTAAAGAATCTGGGCACAGTTTAGTTGGTGCCTCTGACTCGAAGTGTCCTGAGATGTCCATCAAGCTGTTGGCGGGGCTGTAGTCCACTCAGGGCTCAACTCAGGGAAGGGTTGCCTCCAAGCTCACTCACGCGGTGGCTGGCAGGTCCGTTTCTGAGAGCTCACAGGGATTCCCCGACAGGGCTGCCTCAAGAAGCAGCAGCAACTTCCCCAAGAGCGGACAGGAGAGAGTGATTACCTGAGATGGAAGCTACAGGCTCGTTATAGCCTGATCTCAGAAGTGGCATCCCATTCCTTTTGCCAAATTCTG